GAAGAGCGTGCGCTCTAGTTACTCTAGTAGAATGGCGCGAATCTCTCATTCAATTTCATTAACATATATGTACGCGCGTTCCGTTCATTAATCACAGCGTTGATGATCGTGTCGCTGTCATGGTTTATGGATCGCTGCCGGATCCAAATCGATACATTTAACACTCAATTCTAGTAATACAGAGAAATTAATGCACACGCGAATCACCGCACCTTTGCCTCGGATAAACATAGAGGCTATTTTCGCGTGTTTTTAACGCCGAAGTTTCGGATTCTTCGAAATTATCTTTAATTTCAACGAAGAATCAAAGGAGAAAAGACACAGCACAAGCGATACTTAAAAATAAATAGATAAAGGAATTAAAAGAAATAAGGATACTAATTCGTATAACTTTTTATTCAAGTTATACGAAATGAATCGGATATTTCTAAAATTCGCACGATTCGTCTTTTTGCATTCTGCCCTTATTCTTATTGTACGATTGTTTTCAGAGATCGAGCCCAGCTTCCCCTATCGAGATGTGACGATACGTCGAGGAGTCGAGTTCAAGGACGATTATGACATCCAGGCGGAGCTCGGGCGGTGAGTGATTAAATTCGTCGATCAACGGATGCATATAAACATCGAAGCGTCGTGCCAACGACGTGTCGATCACGCGCGATCAGCTCAAATTAATCTCTTGATGTAGTTGTCTCGATGGTCCATCCTTGAGATTCTTGCCTCCAGAATTTTCTGGAAGTCGACAAATGGCGATTAGATTGACATAGTTATATAATTATTCTAATTTTTAATAAGATTTTCATGTGTCTAGTACTTTCTCGATATATGATTATATGTATCTCTTTGATCTGGAAGAAAATCGTAGAAAGATAATATAATATTCAGGATATAAATTCACTTTGGATCAAAATATTTATTGATGATCAACCTCAGATCAAATGGTGATTCAAATAAAATATTTGACATCTTATATAATCGCAAAGCGCTCTCTTGTTCCATGTTCGAATTTAATAACACATTTGACGATAAATGAAAATATTTAAATCATTGACTGTTTTCCATATAGTAGTAACAGAGTACAGCAACACGAAAGTCGCGTCGTTGTCATGTAGTACGCTCTCATATACAAGAGGTATACGTTTGCGGTATTCAGTGCAAATTGATAAGGAATGCACGCGTGGTTGCTAAACACGTGTGGTTTTAGTCTCGTATCAGCGATCAAGGACCTACGATGTACCTATAAATAATTCGTTTCTCTCCGCTCGCACACCCGAGTGGTGGTATACGTATGTCAAACCGGACGGACGTTGTTCGTCTGTCGCTCTTGACACCGGTGAACTCGCCGGCGTTGGAATGTTATTTGACAATGAAACGGTTGTCGACATGCGCTCCCGTAGATACAGATGTATAAAAATAACACAAGCTCTGTAGAGTTATATTATAAAATAAATTAAGGAAAATTAATTCTCCCGTGAAATCGTGAAACATGCTTGATTCTTGAAATCGGAGATGAATCGATAAATTTCCTTCTTCTATAGAATTGCTTTCCGTTCCTTTCCATTTTCCAAGATAGTCACGTTTAGCAATGGAATTAAACGAACTTGCGAAATAATAAAAATTTAATATAGTAATAATGAGAGTTGAGGAACGAATGTCCGGTAAAAGATTCAAGTACACCTTGAAAAAAAGTAGGTCTTAATCGGTAACTGTTCTATTTTTTTAAGCTTCAAGGCCTAATACAATTAATTAATATTTTCTAAATATATTAATAATTAATATATAATATAATAAGAGAATTAAAAAATTAATAGTGCGCGATAAATACATTCGACATTCGTTGAATTAGATATATACGTACGCTAACTCAACGATTCATACGCTGATTTGGCTTCGTGACAAGTATGTTGTATTCCGCCACGCTGTTAGCCAGGGACGCTGGTATACAAGCGGCTTTGGCAGGTGTTTATCATTTTTTACGAGCAACTTCCTCTTACTCAAGGATTTTGCGTTCTAAAAATTCTAGCGCGAATCTTATGTCGAGATTCACGCTCTACATAAGGATAACAAATTCAAGAATACATGTAATATTTACAAAAAGTATATAAATAAAAAATCTTCAGCCGCTTTCAATTGATCTTCTTGCTCCGTTCACATTTTAGGGGAAAATTCGGCATTGTCTATCGATGCAAGGAAAAATTGAGCGGCTTGATGCTCGCTGCGAAGGTGGTGAACATCATGAAGAAGGAGGACAGACGGACGGTGCAAAGAGAAGTCGAAACTATGCGGCGCCTACAGCATCCACGATTGATTCAACTGTACGACGCCATTGATACGGGGAAACAGATATATGTTGTTTTAGAATTGTACGTTTCTTGCGTGTAAGGATTAGGAAGAGAGACGCGTGACTTCTGCATAATTACTTAAAGTTTCTATTATCTAAGGATCGACGGCGGCGAGCTCTTTGAAAGAGTGATAGACGATGATTTCGTACTCACGGAATGCAGCTGCGCCGTTTTTATGCGTCAAATATGCGAGGGAATTGAATTTATGCATAGTCAGAAAATCTTGCATCTTGATTTAAAAGTAAGTCATTAGATTGTATGATGATTGCGATACACAACCGAATCATTCTTAAAATGAAAATATTCAAAGTAAAAATATTTTTGTTTGTATTTTTTTTGTATATGTAATTATTTATGATATATCTATTATTAATTCAAATTTATCAAAGAATCTTTCTTTCTCTTCTTTACAATTAAGCATTATTTAAAATTTATACTTTGTTATATATAGCCTGAGAATATCCTGTGCCTGACGAAGGAAGGTAATAGAATTAAAATCATAGATTTCGGTTTAGCGAGGGAATACGATCCGAATAAGAAATTGCAAGTGTTATTCGGTACACCTGAGTTCGTTGCTCCGGAAGTCGTAAATTTCGATCAGATTGGATTCGGCACCGACATATGGAGTATAGGTGTTATTTGTTACGTCTTGTAAGTATGGGTGATGTGCAAATTTTAATTATACAAACATTGCTCCTCGTTAATGCTCCTCGCGATGAACACGGAATATTGTATACATTATAGGTTGTCCGGTTTATCACCGTTTATGGGCGATACGGATATAGAAACAATGGCCAACGTCACTATCGCGAAATATGACTTTGATCATGAAGCCTTTGCCGAGATTTCCGAGGACGCGAAAGATTTCATTAGGTGTCTTCTGGTGAAAGACAAGGAGTAAGTATGTTTTCTCGATGCATATAAAATTAATATTATTCTTTTGTATATCCTTTTTAATTCTTTTTCTCCTACCTCCATGTCTCTTTTCCCTTTCTCCTATTTCCATCTCATGTACCTGTTGCTATTGTCGTGAAAACATTCCTCATGCTATGCTTTTAATCGTCCTTTCTTATTTTGTGAGGGTGTGTGTATGGTTCACAGACAATCTGCGTTTATGGCTAATCCTAGCTTTCATTATTATCTTATTTCAAATTACTTTTTAATCAATACATATATTATTCGTCGCTAAAGAAAAAATAGAAGAGTGATTCTATTTTACGTATGAAATACGATCGCATTCCTGATAACTCATAGCTGAAAGTATGTTGCTCTGGTACTATATAGCAGCTATTATTTCACTGCCATTGCAGTCGACAACGACTTTATTGCCTCGAGAACGTTCAAATGTCAAACGGCGAAATAACATCGATATATAACGTTCCTCTCGTCGGTTAGCTAATTTCTCGAGAATTTTGCACTTGGACACATACATATATAGACGCATACACGTACATCATATACGAACCTGCACCTTCATTGGACATTTTTTGCACCGCATTCCTTGTTTTAATTGTTCGCTCTTGGACCGCAGAACACATGTGTCTCTACGCGACAAGGGAAACATACTATCGAGCCTAGAGCACGAGACCCTCCTCACGACGAGCCTTTCGAATCTTTCAGAAAGCGAATGACGGCGGCACAATGTCGGGAGCATCGCTGGCTGGCCAGAAAAATGAATAAAACCAGGAGCGAGAAGGAAGTCGCGGAATTGACGGCGGCTAAACGGATGGCCTTTATTGAAAGTCCTATTGTAGGTATCATCCGTGACGAGAACGGCAGAGAGGAGCTAGACGTGACCAAGGACAATCTCAGATTGTTCGTCGAGCGCTGGCGAGAACATCCGGATAGCCCGTACACGATCGATTCTTATCACTCGGCGTTACCGAAAAATCCGCAATCTTGTGATCACGATGAATCAGTGTCCCTGCGAGGTCACAGTCCCTCTCCCTGCGACAGTCTTCGCAGCAGTAGCACGCAATCGGAAAAGGTGGTGGACTCCATCAGAGATAATTATTCCACTCGTCTGTTGTCCGTACCGAGTATCAGCTTGTCTTTGGAAAGAAGAGCTTCCGAAGGTACAGCGGCGCGAAACCGTCGCGATCCTGCCAGCCAAATCGCCCTGGCCGAGGAAATAATAAAACTTTCCGAACACTTGCGTTCGATCGCCATGGGTTCGCGCGGGAACGAGGATGATAACGGACACGTAATGGAAGTACAGCGTTCCATCAAGAGGCCCCATGTCGGAAATAATCGTGATACGTACTCGAAGAGCAATGTAACGGTAACCATGTCTAGCAACGATAAAGAGACCAACGAGATCACGGAGAAATTATCCAGCATCGCTCGACAACGAAAGCTCAACGGGACGACCTTTCACAGTAGCCGTAGCTTCGATAGACACGACATCGACACAAATCCTGAAAATATCTTTGTAGCTCTGAGGAGAACGAGTATCAGCGATAGTGAGATGTCTGAGAGACGCAAGCAAGATCGAAAGTATTCTTTCGAGCGAATGACTACCAAAGCGGTCGAGGAAAAGTTCAATGGGAAAACGATTGACAGGAAAATGTCCTTCCAAACATCTTCCGTCAATAAGGATGATAAGGAAATGGACTTGACACCTCCATGGCGACGATCACGTGTTAAGAAATCTTTCGGCGAGACTAGTAGGGATGTGCCAAGGATATCGAATTTGCGGGACTTGCATAAGAATCTCAACCTCGACGAGCCTGGGAGCGCCAAAGACCTGCTGTTACATCTGTTGGGCGAATGGGAGGATGTCACCGCGATATCCTGCGGTAGTGGCGGCGCCGGCAGGAAATCTGTGAGCCTGGATTGGTGCACGGCCGACACGATCGCTAGGAAGACAATGAATTCGTTGGCCGAGTACTTTCAGTCGAAACAGCAGAAAACCAAGTCTTCCGATGTCGCGTCGTCTACGTCGTCGTCGATATATCGTTGAGCGTTGTACCTGTTATGAGTTTCGCGTTATAGATATTGCACAATTTTCTTTTCTCTTTGATCGTAAACATTGTTTCGGAGCTGCTGAAATAATTTGATACTCGAGATGAAATATATATAATATATGTATATGATACCTGGGACAGCAATAATATAACTGAAAGTGAAGTAAATCTTAAAGAATTGCAAAATTCGATAAGGAATAATTTTCTGAAATTCGGAATTACTTTACAATTGATAAATTTTTTTTTGTATGTTCTTCTACTTCTATTTATCTTATATTTAAACAACAATTGCAGAGATTTACATAAGTAAATTTTATATTGCAATTAGATAAAGATATCGAGAAATTTTATAAATAATTTATAAAGTTTAAATTTAAAAACAATTTATAAATATTTAAAAAAATTAGATGTTTAATTTTATACAAAAATCTCTTCTTTTTAACTCATTGTGAGATTCATTTATCTTTTACAAATACCAAATAATAAGTTTGGCAAACAAGTATATTTTGGTAATTTTTGTTTAAATAAATAAGTTTTTAAGACTCTTTGTGTGAGTACGTTTGTATATATGTGTATGTAGGTGCGTGCATGTGTCTCACTGACATATTGAATTGAATTATGTCTGACGCAAAGAATCAAACACGAGGTGAAATATGAGAAAATTAACTTATTTTAATGTATTTCGTAAGAACAAAATTTGCATAGTCTTTTGCTTCTGATGTCATAATTCAATACGGCTGCAATGAGTAAACGGGAGCTTTAGAAGAAACACAAAGAGAGAGATAAATGTTTTTTAAAGAAAAATATATATAATGATGTGTGTGTGCGAATAATATAAAGCAGGGAAACTTTTGAACACACGCCCTGCTTAATCCTAAGTTTATCTATCATAATTTAAATCTATTGGGTTCGCATTTATTTCTCGTAAATTTGTTTACGCGATCGATAAATGAGATAAATTCTTGTAATTTTGTGATATTTTATGTGTTATGAAACTTTAATATGCGTATAAAACATTATGAAAAACATGGATAAGATTATCTTTTTTATTAAATGTTCGAGTACGCTTTTAGAAACAAATACGACCTTAATGGATTCATGTGTCAAACGGAGAGTTAAATATGACTAATAGAGATAAATCTTGATATATGAATGTGCTATTGAATTGGAAAGCTTATATAAATCGTTAATAAAATCTATACGATTATAATTTGTAGCTGGAATCTCTAAAAAAAATTTGGGTTTCTATTATGCACCATCCACACACCCTCACAAAACGATATTTTTGTATGTATCGTTATAAATAATTTATACTTTTCATCGAAATGCTTACAAAATGATTCAATTTTTTGTCAAACTAATATTCTATCGTAATGCTTCTAACAATACAAAAATAGTGCAGAAGCTTCTCTTACTGATTCTAAATTCTAACATTCTTCTGTAAAAATTTTGAAGCATTCAATTACGAGTTTCTTATTAATACATTATTATTATTATTAATAGCACTATTTGAATATTTGCATATATACTGTAATAATATTAATTACGAAAATTATATATATATAATTAAAAAAGTTTAGATTTTTTACTAACAATAAGTATGACGCACTGAATTCGAGTAAGACTTAAAAAGGATTGAGAATTGAAGTATACATATATATTTCTTGTGTCAATCTGTTGTGTTTATATATACTTTATATTTAATATAAATCATGATACACATCAAATACATCATAGAAAGATTATTGATTTTCGTTAGTTCATGATTTGTCTGCAATTCTCAACGTAATGAATATAAATCGAGAAATTGATTATAGTTTTTTTATACCATAGGAAAAGACCATCCGCGGGAAAACTTATAGAGCATCGTTGGCTGGAAGTTGCTCTGGAGAATCCGATTCAGAAACATCGGTTGAAGCGCTATGTCATTAAGAAGCGCTGGGTTAAGGCTGTTAATACTATTTTGGCATTAAAACGGATGGGCGCGCGTCTAGATTTAGATTTAATTTAATATCGGCAACATTCAATCATCAAGACATTTGACAAAAAACGTCTGTATAGTATATCTATACTTTGTATTTCGTGTTTTTTTTTTTCAATGTATGTTATCTTGGAGTTTAAATGAAGAATCAATAACGGGGATAAAAAAGAAAATGAGCGACATACTTATTCCACAAAAACAATGATAGATATGTGTGTATATGTTGTGCGTGTGTGTGCATATCTCTCCTTCGTTATTAATCAAAATTGTACTCATGTTTTTGACTTATTACTTATTATTTGAGTTATTACTTATTATTTGATTTATGCGTTTTCGTTTATCACCTCTAAGAGAGGTATTTCTGGATGGAGTTGCTCTACCAGTTGGAGACATGTTCATCGATTGCATAGGCGTGTCAATCTGAGGCGTACTCAATCTGAGAATTAAAGTAACAATGAATTAACTTCTAATATTTGCATTGAAATAATATGTGGCATTGATCGATAGCATATTCCGAATTCGATTTCATTCATCCTATATATCTTTTAAAACACTAACAGTGAAAGATTGAGAGATTAATGAAAATTGAATACTTAAGATTAAAAAAACGAAATTGTAAGATAAATTCAAGAAATAAGATTACAAAGAAGAATTACAAGACATATCTTACAGTAAACATAAATGTAAAAAAAGAGAAATAGAAGAAAAGAATTTGAAATAAAATTAATATTGTGTCCAACAAAAGACGGAAATCTAATAAAAAATAAGGAAAGAAAGAACTTTTTTGCCATTTGAATTCAAGAAGATTACGATATAAATGCTCACCTAGCATTTTCAAACTCGCGATAGACTTTCGTCTATCGTATCTTGTAATAGTTGTATATGTACTTTTGTTTTTGCCTGAAATTCAATTAATTCTTCCACGCAATACTTATATTTTTGTAAGTGTTGCGCCGTATTCTCGATTCTGTTCTCATATTGCAGTTTGATCTCCTCTTGAATCGCATGCATTTGCGTCTCATTTTGATCGCGTAATTCTTGAAGCATCAGAGTCTTCTCCTGTTGTTTTTGAGCGTCGTCGAGCAATGCTTTCAATCGATCAATTTCCTTCTCCAAATCTTGATTTTTCTCCACAAGCTTCTTGCGCTCCGCCTGTAATTGATTGAACTGCGATTGAAAATCATTACAGCGTGTTTCATATATCATTGCATTTTGCTCCGCTATCTGCAAGTCCTTTGTTTTCTTCTCCAATCTAGAAAACATACGTCAAATAAAAATGTTAATCATACGTATTAAACCACAAACACATCATTTATTTCTGTTAGTAGAATAACTATCTCCGATGTGAATACATTTACTATCCTAAACATTTTACTTTTAACTCTCAGCATTTTTGAAAAGCTCACTAAGATTTCTGTGAGCTTTTACATCAGCGCAGAAAACCGCGGTATGCGCATGATTCTATAATAGCAGTTGTGATTCATTAGAATTTAGCAAATGATATGTGAACCCGATTAAGTCTAATTACATAATGTCTCATCTTTCAGGACAGATTATTTATTTACTAAATAAAAATAAATTAAAATACCATTTGAATCATTTCAAGATTCTTCTACTAATATCTATGTTATTTTTTAATATTTGTTAATAAATATATCATACATATTAATCAAATATCGTAATAATTGCTGAGGATTAAACACTTCGGATTGCAATTTTACTTAAATATAAAAAAAATTTTTTTGTGAGCATTTTTATATACAAGAATAAGTTTCTTATTGACCCATCTTACAATTAGATAGGCTTCCATTCTTCCAATTTTCTATGAAAGTTCTTTGGACATAACACTCGGAATCAACATCGTCTCGCTATCCTTGGCCTACTGCCTTAAAACAGGTAACATCGAATGATGCTACCCTTATGGAAAACGAGAATTATTTTTCTTACTGTGACATCTTCAAAAAGTATCGATGATTCAACGGCTACATTACTATCAATTCTCATCTTTTATATCAAATTAAGAAAAGAACTCAGGATCAAGTAATGAATATGAAAGAAAATAGATTAATATAAAACATGGAGTAATTTCTTACGGGGATATTTTTACTTTCTTCTTCTTATTTTGCGGAAATTTTCCGATTCTAAGTAACATGGTAAATTTCGCAATTATGCATATAACGCGCGACATTCATCCGGATATAATCGGGGGGCATTATAATAAATATAACTGACAATGAATTGTTACGGACTTAACAATAGCGTTACTTTAGGTTTAGAGGGAATGGTGAAATTGAAAAGAATTTCTTTCTCTCAGAGAAATCGAAGAATATCTTTGTTATTTTCGAGAACAATAGGGCGAAACAAAAAGTTTTTCAAAGAATAAGCTTCACAAGAAAAATGTTGACAGAATATCTCGCAAAGTATTGTTACTATATTTTTGTGAACATGCAGATAATAATCTATATTCTTTAACGAATTTTTCTCTTGTTAAAAAAACCGTTATTTTTGGCAAAATGGCAAAATTTTTCACTTTTCCGCGCTAGGGGAAAAGTTACATGATCGATACCCTGATTGGTGGATTAAAATAGCCGCCATGTTAGACCACAAATAGTAGCATAGACATAGACTGGATTGAGCAATAATTTAAGCATGTATTTGAAAAGAAATATATCGACATTTTAATAAGATTTAAAATTAGCAAAAAAAAAAAAAAAAAGTTAGTGGCAACGGTACATGGTGTTCCCAAGCGGTCACCCATCCAAGTACTGACCATGCCCAACGTTGCTTAACTTCAGTGATCGGACGAGAACTGGTGCTTTACAACGTGGTATGACTGTTGCCAATAGTAATACTTCCAATTGCTACAGATATACACAATTTGAAAATTTCAAGACGGTTATATATAAACATATAGGGTGCGTTCCGTTTCACGCATTGAGCGCATAGATCGCCTGGAAATCTATAGTTCACGTAAAGCCCGAATCACACTAGCGGCTCGCGGCTGCGATTGCGATTGCCTCAGCCAATCAG